GACTACAACCTCCTCCTTTTCTTTTGATGCCTCACTTGGATACGCCTCCTATGACGAATGTTTGGCATTGAAAAGCTTTAGGACATATCTTGTATTATCTATCATCTGATTTCTACTTAGCATTGCTTTTTCTTTGTGGTTGCATTGTACCGTGGCTTTCTGGCTTCCGCTTCGAGACACTGATGAAGATTCATGAGGAGAATGGTACAACCCAGGCAGGGACTGATACAGAGTGAAGCCCTGTTGTGTATGACTAGGCGAGTGTAAGATTTTGGACTGGACATGGCTCGAAGTGCGAAGGAGGTTGAGTAGGGGGAGACGAAGCGACTTTTGATACCATAGATTTGTGATGCCGTCGAGTCAAATGCAAACAGCAGTTGCAGAGAAACCTCGTATCAGATACTTCCAGAGCCCATCAATTGTGGTAGTGACTTTGACCATGATGGTGGCTCGGTTTTGTCCGGGCTCTTATCGATGTGACTCTTTGTAAACACATCCTCCTGCCACGCAGAGAGCCGCCCATGGCTTTTTGCTTCCTGCATTTGATCTTCACTCGTGCCACCGGCGCGACCTTGGGCTCGTGGCAGTGTAGATCTATGTCTCTGCAGCAGAATGAGAGGCCACAGCGACATGTGTCACTTTGCGAGGTCAGTGGCCGCTTGACGGGGCCATTGACTGGCCGTGTTGCTGGTCGACGCACGCGCTCACTCAGGCCAGCTTTGGAGGTTTCTCGCTTGTAGTATAGCACTTGACACCACCGGCGGGTCTTGAGAGTTTCTCACGGTCAACCCGTCTTTCCACCCTTCCTTGTTCGACGCTCATTGTTTCTCTGCCGTCTCTCTTGCCTCTTGATCCTCTCCACCCGCTCCCGCCGCCCTTCGCCTCTGACCGTCCTGCCGTCGCCAGCATCGGCACCGGCCTTCTCTTTCTTGACGGCCTCATCGTCCAACTCGACAAGCCAGTCGGACTCGTCCTTCTTGTTCCGTCCCTTGTAGCCCCATTTCTTGACCCACTCGCCGCTCTCCTCGTCGTACACCAGGTTCTTGCGCCTCTCCTCCTGCGCGGCGCCGCCCTTCAGGTTGCCCCCGTACTTGCCGATGCCCTTTTTGCGAGCGAACAGCTCCCACTTCGTCGGCGGCTTCGGCTTCGGCAGCGGCTTCCACCGCGGCAGGTAGTGCTGTGGTGCCGGCAGGGTCATTATCAGACCCTCCGGGGTGGATTGGATCGGGCAGGTTGTGAGGAGCGTGTTGAGAAGGGATTGTGCGCCATCGCGGGCTATTTGTCTTAGTGTGTCGTTACGCTCCGAGAGGGTTTGAGAGAGGAGGTGGGAAGTGGCGGGGAGAGGGTTTGGGTCGATGGCGGTCAGGTAGCCCAAGTCGTAGGTGTATGGCGTGGGCTTTTCAACGGTCGTCGGCCTATGTGAGAGGAAATGTGTCAGGACGTATGACTCCACAGATTGTACAGTCTGTAGGATTGGAACACGGAGCGAGCGCAAGAATAACGTACAGTTTTTCTGATTTTGTTTGTGCCGGGTGCGAAACTGTTGACGACAAATGTGTTTCCGCTCCACTCATGTTTGTGTCCATGGTTGTGTCCGTGGCCATATCTTTGTTTGCCAGATGTGAGTCTTTCTACTCCAACACTGAACTTCTCCTCAAAAAAAGAAAGGGTAACCCAGATAATGGTGCTGGAGGGAAGAAATATAGACACCAACCCACAATAATGGTTTTCGTTTCTCCGCACCAGAAATTTTGACAAGGCTGAGCTAATCCTAGTTAGGTGGTAAGATTGTCACTCCTGCTTTTGTGCGGAGGATGGGGTTTCCCATACATATCCCTGGTCTGAGAGTCAGGGTGGCTTCATGTGGACGCAGTGATTTGTTGAATACACCCTCGCACACACAGAGGTATAGAGGTTTGTATTCTGATATCTACAATCGTCTCGATATGAACTCATTCTGCGAGATCCTTCGATTGTCTCACTAGTGAAAAGGACTTTTATCGCAATTCAATCGTCGTAAGTGTGGTCTTCCACCTTCCACTATTACAGAGTTGTCGTATCGTTGGTCAATAATATACGGGATGCCGACTCTTTCTACTTTCGGAAAGGGGTATATATATAACGCTCTTCAGGCCTATCCGAATCTGGATTTGAGGATGCCGAGTTTAGTCCTTTTTATTCACGATCACGCGAGTTGCCAACAGATGTAAACTTTCCGTTACAAGGATTTGCTCTGTGGCTTGATCTCCTGGATGACAGACACCAATTGGATCTCTCGAGGGAACTATCGACCGAAGGTCCTGGCTCATGCGTGTGTTGAGTCCTTGATCGTTCCGGTCTCTTATACCCAGCAGCTCTTCCCTGATTGCGGAGGTGATCATCAAATGAGAGGAGAAACCCCTCCAAAATCCCAACGATGAGAAATATGTTTCGCGTCTCTTGGGTTTGTCCTTCGGGTTTCCTGCTGCATAATAGGAGAGCACACACCAAGGTTTCTTGCCCCATAGGTTCCATTATTATCCTCGAACCCCCGAAACAAGAACGGAGCCCGTTATCACAGAGATGAATGTTGACACAATGTGGAGATGCGTGGCTGATGCTGCCGGTGCCGTCGCGAGCCTGGCATCACCAGACCTGTCCTATGTGAGGGCCGAACGCGCCAGCCTCATACGGTTCTATTCTAAATCCCCGAGCTGTGGGCGTGCCCCAAAACCACCAGGTTGCCCTGCAGCCGCTTCCACACATCCACCTCTCCTCCCCCCCAAAGGGTTTGAACCATTGTGCTAGCTTCCGACTCGCGAAGGCTGTGACAGCTGGCCATGTAAGCTGAACATAATCGCCCCAGTTGCGTGGTTCGGAACCTCCCGCTGGACCTATCATATCAGAGAACACATATTATGGCTCACCACGCTCCCTTATAGGCAGCATAGTGGACCTCCCAGCTTCCGATCAACTCATCTCAGCATCGTCTTCGGACATTTCCTTCACCCAGGACCCGATGGGTTTCTGCGAGACGTGCAGATTTTCTCGGGCTGGCGTGGAAGGGCCAAAATGGTTCGCCATACTTTCTGGGCGACACATCGAGCGAAAGGCTCGCATAACAGCACAAGCACCTCTGAATATGCTCAAGCAATCTGACAGAACGAATGTAGGCAAATACTAAAATTTGTGCAATCCCCTTCAGAAGCACCTAGGCCCCGCGTTAATTGGTGTGTCTTGAGACAAAAACGCTTGTAACCCTTTCAAATCGCTCGTCTGGAATATACTGTTTGAACATAGACAACAGGACGGGAGGAGAATTCTGTTCCAGGCTCCCCCATTCCGCGTCCCTAACAATCCTCGTCCTCATCGTGGCCGCCGTCCTCGTCATCATGGCCGCCATGACCACCAAGACCATCGTGACCGCCGTGACCACCATCGCCACCATCGTGGCCACCCTGCCCTCCTCCGTTCAAGCCCTGACCTTGGCCCGGGACAGCGCCCATGTCTTGAGCCTCGTGGCCGGCAGTCATGCCGACTTTCTTTGCAAGGCGAGCGAGCAGCAAAAGGCCAACGTGGACCATGCTCTCCAGGTGAGCTTCGTGGATAGGTTCCGCTATGATTTTCTCTCCCGTCAATGCTTGATCCTGAAACACACAACACAGGAATATCCTAGAGGGGTGGGCTGGGGAAGCAATAGAGAGAGGGAAGACACCCACAAGCAATCTTGTCCAGGAGCTGCATCGACTCGGCGTGGTGAGGATCCTGAGCGAATCTCGAATGCGCGTGCTGCGGCTTGGGGACGTGCGAAGGCCCCGGCTGCGGGTCCATGACCAGTTTGACCACCAGCTGGACCAAGGATGCCATGTCGCCATCCTGCCCCCCTTCCATCCCGCTCATGTCCCCACCCATGCCTTGGCCGTCGCCGCCATGATGGTCTTCGTAGTCGTAGCCCTCGTCGCCTTCACCACCTTCGTGCCCGTAGCTGTCGTCCTGGCCGTGCATATTTTTCTTTTTATCTCTGCGAGTGGCGGAAAATTAAAGGCGTAAAAATCGAGTTTCTCTGTGTGACCGAGAAGCCAGGCAATATGTATGAAGCAGAAAATGAACGCTTTACCACAGATCACGATGCGTTAGCCTGGAGGATATGCAAGATTGAGCGCCGATCACTTTCGTCGATGCAGGAGATGATCTTTTATATGCAGACCTCATACTAGATCTGTGTGTATGATTTTGGGTATGTAGGCCCCAGATCTAAAAATGACTCGCGTTTCAATTTAGGAATCAACCAGGCACACAGCTGAACCTCACACCTACCCCCCCTCTCCTTCTCCCGAGTCAGTGGAGATCAAGACGGCGAAAGAATACGGCCGTTGTATACATACCGCGTCCAAAAGGGCCCGAATGGGCTGGCTGCATTGGATACGGATTAGGCTAATGTACCTACTCGATGCGGATATAGAGTTATTTTTACCCCAGAGATACAAGTGCTTATATTGGTTAAGGTTATTATTCTTAGTCATTTTTGCTACTATTGCCCAGTTCGCCATCAAACTACCCACTCGTGCCACTCTATCATGCTGCAGGTCAGCGCCTTAGGCGCACACTTCACAACGATCTCAACGTCATTTCGGAGGGCAGTGTCCCATCCCGATCCTGGTTGCGGCACCGAGGAGAGCTCTTTTGTTCACGGTCAAATCTGTACAATCGAACCCATCAGCAGGGGTATCCGAGGTACAGTCAGCTTATCGCCGCATATCCCCCAAATGCATCAATACCTGGCCTTGTGCCCGGTGCGCATAGCTCGACAGTCTCTTGTTCCAAACTTGGGTCCATTAACCATAGCAATAGTCTCCAATATAGATCATTGACTGGTCCGATAAATTGCTGGGACCTGCTCTGGCGAGTTACTGGTCACATCAGACATTTGCAATCATCAGCATACCTCACAGACTGTTCCAATACTGATTCCCTCGTTGTGCACATTTACCGACCTTGATATCGCCCTCGCATACAAAAAGATGGCCGCTGCAGCAGCTGATCTAGCTGCGGACGCGGTGCAAGCCGGTGTCTCCCTTTTCGGCGCCATCTTCAACTCAGGCGCGGATAAGGACTATCGAAGTGCCTGGACACAGGTTCAAATTGGAGACATGTCGTCGAAGAACCCGGGCAAGAATGTCATGTGTGTCTTCACAAAGCACGATGCATCTGGCCTCGTCAACAGCACAATGACAATTCGGGAATGTACCTGCCCCAACAGCGGATCAGTCTTGACATATTCTTGTTACGTCTTTGATTCAGGGCCATTTGTGTTGCAAGGAGACGGGTTAGTGCTGTTATAGACGAGTTCTCAACCAAGGACAGGCTCAACTGACGTCTTTTGCAGAGGATACCTCAACTGGTGTTTTGCCGGCAATTTTACAAGAGACGGTGGCAACGTGAGTGCAATGGAGATCCTGAACAGGGAAATGGCTAACACAGATGATCTAGGTTACTTTCAATCCTATGAGTTGAAATCAGGGCATGATATCCAATACTTTCAGAAACCAATTTCAAACCCTGTTTGCTTCAGCTCGGTGGTGCACATGTGTGTATGGTTGTGTAGTTCATTAGCAAGCCCCGCTGGCCATTGAGGAATGAAGTCAATTCCAGTGTTCTTTTTTTAAATTTTTGGTCATATGGAGAGGAATGCCTTGCAGTGCCAGGTGTTTTGTTCAAGGCACAACTGGAGAGGGTGCCATCGTCTTTGACTAGAAGTCCGCTAGTGGACGCGACAATCAAATATATTTCAAACGAGATGGTGTGGCTGTTTCTGCTTGAGCAAGGTGGAGGTATCAAGAGAAGATATGGCTGGACCCTGTCGCTCCTCGTCTAGAGGCGAAGTCGGGCAGGCCAAGCCAGTTATACAGCCTGAGACTGTCCGCTGTACATCAAGAGTCCTCGAGGTGGCTGTCACATGATCAGGCGAATATAAGATTGAAGGATCCCGTAAAAATTCGCCTTCGTCCACGCTCCTGCGGTAGTAGACACCAACAAGAGGTTTTGCCTCTTCGATTCAAACAAGGCTGGGAACAGTTTAGACCAGAGCTCACTGCAGTTGGTGCCTCATTGGATAAAGGCATGGGAAAGACGCTATGTGACGACATGGAACTAAAGAACCCTTCTTCCTGAGTGCAGTGCCATAATTGGCAATTTGATACCTGGTGTAGTCAAATTTGTGCGAATTCATCTGTGAACGTGTTGAGATGTTTGAGATGTTTGTCATGTTTGTCTAGGGAAAGAATAGGGGCAGGTGGGCAGCAGCCTTGAGATTCCGAGGGGCATGCCAAGTCTGCCAAGTCACCTGATCCTTTGTTTACGTACCGACTCTGTTCCGGCAACCAAGCGGGCCTCGTGCTGAACTTGTTGGTGAGTAGCACCAGTGGTTTGCACCAAATCTTCGGCTCTGCGAGATTGTCGATCGAAAGTCTCAATCACTTCCACCTCCACCAAACAAACGCCCTGTGCTCGCTGCCCCTTCTAACACAGACCATCTGCGGTCACCCTCACACATCCTTACCTCCATGTCATCGGCCATGTCTGGGGTTAGCGGTACATATCGAGGCACACCTACGCCCAACCGTCGTGGTCCACTCCCATTTGCAGACTCCCCTTCCGCGATTCCTCGTCCCAAGTTAGAGTCTTCCAGTAACGCCGCGCCCAGCGAGATGTCGGGCACCTCTACCGTGTCGGCAAGCCGACAGAAGCAGAGCAAGAGAGACGAGGTGCGTTATCACGTCCTGAACCTATCCAAGCCAGCCCTGTGCCTAACACGCATGGCTTTTACTTCTAGGCAATTCGACGCAAGATGGAAGCCGATCTCAGCAAGAAGAAGCATGCCCCTTCCCGCGCTCGACATACCCGCAAGGCACCACCCGGAACCGTCCTGGCCCTCAAACCCAGTCAGGCCCTACAGATCAAGCCCTCCACCACTGTCGCCGAGGCTGCTCAGCTCATGGCTGCCAAGAGAGAGGACTGCGTTCTAGTTACAGATGACGACGATAGAATCGCGGGTATATTCACAGCGAAGGATCTGGCCTTCCGTGTTGTGGGCGCCGGAATCAAGGCTAGCCAGGTTACAATTGAGCAGATCATGACCAAGAACCCGCTCTGTGCGAGGACTGACACAAGTGCCACCGATGCCCTAGACCTGATGGTCCGAAAAGGATTCCGACATTTGCCCGTCATGGACGAGAATCAAGACATTTCGGGCATTCTCGATATCACGAAATGTTTTTACGAGGCTATGGAAAAGCTGGAACGTGCATACAGCTCATCGCGCAAGCTGTACGATGCACTCGAAGGTGTACAATCTGAACTTGGCTCCAGTCAACCCCAACAGATTATCCAATACGTCGAGGCTTTGAGACTAAAGATGTCGGGACCTACCTTGGAATCTGTGCTCAACGGGCTCCCTCCCACCACCGTCTCGGTTAGGACGTCTGTAAAAGAGGCGGCGCAGCTCATGAAGGAAAATCACACAACCGCCGTGCTGGTGCAAGATCAGGGGTCTATCACCGGCATTTTCACTAGTAAAGATGTTGTACTCCGTGTCATTGCCCCTGGGCTTGATCCCTCAAACTGCAGTGTGGTAAGGGTGATGACCCCTCACCCAGATTTCGCGCCCACGGATATGAGCATTCAGGCTGCTCTGCGCAAGATGCATGGTAAGTCCTATTCATATCGGACTGGGTAAAAGTGCTCATAGTCACAGATGGTCATTACCTCAATCTCCCGGTCATGAATGGCGAGGGTGAAATCGTCGGCATGGTCGACGTCCTCAAATTAACCTATGCCACTCTTGAACAAATCAACACTATGAATTCTGGGGAAGCAGAGGGACCAGCATGGAACAAGTTCTGGCTATCAATGGACAATGATACTGAATCAATCATGTCCGGCGAGGGAAGCCATCGCCCAACCACACCTGGCCATCGCTCGATGATGGACTCGGAGGCTGGCCGACCTGCTTTCGAAAGAGGTGATAGCGTCATGCCACACGACTCCGCGTCGCACCGAGGAGATGATGTCCACTCTGAGGTACTTCCATCTGTCGAATCGCCGGAAGAAACACCTTTTCCGTTCAAGTTTAAAGCCCCCAGCGGACGAGTCCATCGGATACAAGTTCTCGCTAGTACCGGGCTTACCGAACTGGTCAACCAAGTAACCGCAAAATTGGGCAGTGAAGTGGACTCTGTGGGCGGCGAAGCCACTGTCGAGGAAGGTAAATTGGGGAAAGCAGGTTATGCATTGAGCTACCTGGACAATGAGGGCGACACCGTCTCCATCACTACGGATCAAGACCTGCTCGATGCAATTCTGCTGGCGAGGCAGGGAAAGAGAGATAAAGTTGACTTGTTCGTCCATGACCCCACACAGCCGCCAATTGCTACGACTATCGATCCAAGACCTCAGCTTTCGAAACCACCAACGCCTCCTGAGTCGATCCTCAAGGAGGTGGCAATAGACGCAGCGGAAGAGGGCGACGAAGACGACGAAGATGTTGTTCCCCTTGCGAAAACGATCCGGTCGAGACGAGCGCCACCAGCGATGCAACAAAGGAAGGAAGAACAACCGCAGGTCATTGCCGGTGTGCCGAATGATCTGCTTCTTCCTGGAGCCATTGTCACGCTTGCGGTTGTTATTGTTGGTGTTTTTGCTGTCGCCCGCGCGACGGCAAAGTAAGAATGATACCCCATGACTCCAATGCTGTCGTTACAGGTGCCTGTTTCTGGCTGTTCAGATTTTTGACCTTGTGGTCCGGAGGCGTTTCTCTCTCTCAGGACAGAGGAACGTTTTACTTGAATCCGATGCTGCTTTAGCAGCAGGTTTGACGAGGCAACATAGACTACTTACCTACTTATCTAGTTCCTATACAAGTGTCTCTATACGTTCGGTTTGTCTTCTTCTCCCACCTGGATGCCTGTACAGTTGTCGTCGTTCAGGGGGCCAAGCGCGCGAGAGAAGCCCGCCTGTTGAGACGTTCGGATGCTTTTGGGAAAGGGGAAGAAAGGAAAGGGAAGGGGATGTGAGCGTGTATATGTACAGAGCACCGCACGAATCTTTACTCTCCAGAAGCCAAGAACTTGGTATCCTAATGAGGCCCGACTCCTGCTACTTCTTTTGATCCTTCTTCTGATCTTGCTCCTGCTCTGTGTAAACCATGCATGCCTGCGTGTCTGCTGGGCTGTTACTTTCTCTTTCTTTTTCTCCTGTCTCCTCTTTTTCTCATCATATCCTAGTCTTGTTTTTGGGCGTCCAAGTTTCCCCCCCCCCTTCCTCACTACTTACCTTTCTTCGATGTACGTTGTCAATACGACGTATTTTGTTCGTATGTACATGTGTATTCGTGTTGGAGTGAGACGGACGAATGAGGCTGGACAAACACATTACCTTACCTAAAGGTAGTGAGTGGTCCCTTGTACCGTGGATCTCACTTGCATACTAGGTAGCTTGTATGGAGTACCCGCTCGTACATGGCGAAGTGGCCAGGCACCCAGGCCATGCGGTCCCAGGAATCCATCCTACTGCTCACTCGTACGGAGGACTCGCCATCCATCTATGAGGCTGTACCCGAGAGTGAAGTTCACACTGCGTTCCGTTCCACTCGGCCTGGCCTGGTCTGATCTAGTCTGGTTCAGCTACTTGCAGGTCTCCGGGGTGGCTGTGCTGACGGTATACACACATACAGACCTCGGGAGACACCCCCACCCACAGCCCACAGCCCACACGTCTGTCTATCCACATGCGGTATATCAGAGTATACATATTCGGTAAGACCAAAGTCACCGTCCCTTGCGTCCCCATAGCATAAGATAAGCAAGGACCTGTTCGTTCGGCTCGGGCCCTGATATCAAAAACAAAAGCAACCAAAATGCCATGCTTACGTCGTTGTTTATGTAACTTTATCTACATCAAGCTCGTCCGGCCCCCGACTTCCCTGCCGCCTTGACCGGAGGGCATCTCGCCGTTTCGCCCGACCACAAACTCCTGATAGATGGCGGCCAACCGTCGCCTCTCCTCGGGGCTGATGGAGCTGCGAGTCGTCGCCAGTGACTTCTCCATGTGTCGCCACTCAATCACCACCTCGTCCTTGCGGGATCCGTTGGCCTCGGCGCCGTCGGCGTCTCCGTCCGCCGTGCCGTCGTAGATCCCACTAGCTCCTCCACCCGAGCCTCCTAGGTCGTGGGAAGGTGCCCGGCGTGCGAAGCTGCTCTTCAGAGCCGCCTTTTCACGCTTCCGCGCCAGTTTCAATTCGTCAATCTTCGAGGCAATGGCCGCTTTCGACTCCATTGTCGAGGCCCCCGTACCCAGTGACTTCCTTGCCAGGGCGTCTTCCTCGGCCGAATACAGAAAGTGGAAGAAATCGTGCTTCCCTTGTGTGCTGTGGTGTTTGCGGCGCTTCCCACCCCCGCCTGAGCTGCTGCCACCGCTGCTGTTATTGGTACCATTGACCAGTTCCCGACCCTTTTCCCGGTCGGATGGCTTGTCGCCTAACAAGTCGTGAATGGCCTCGAGATGGGCGTTGTACATGAGCGCCTGAAGGTCTGCGCCACTGAAGCCTTCGGTGCGCTGTGCAACGCTGAGTAGTCGATTCTGTACCTCGGGCTTCAACCGTAGTTTCGCGCTGACCGCCGTCAAAATATCCAGTCGATCATTCATATCTGGCATGTCGCACAACAGACTCTTGTCCAGCCGTCCTGGTCTGAGAAGAGCCGGGTCAATCAGGTCTGGCCTGCTGGTGGCCGCCAGCACGTAGACTCCCTCAAGTCCTTCGGCACCATCCATCTGCGTAAGCATCTGATTGACCACTCGATCTGTCACGCCCGTCGAGTCGTGTCCTCGTTTCGGCGCAATGCTGTCAAATTCGTCAAAGAACAAGACGCATGGCTTCGCAGCCTGGGCGCGCTCGAATAGATCTCGAACCGACTTTTCAGAGGCACCGATATACTTGTTTAAGATTTCCGGGCCTTTGACAGAGATGAAGTTGAGGTTGCACTCACCCGCTACGGCAGAGGCCAGGAGTGTCTTCCCACAGCCGGGGTACCCGTAGAGCAACAGCCCTGAGCGGAGGCGGAGAGGAGATCGCGCAAAGATAGGTGCGTATTTTGTGGGATAAAGGAGTGTCTCGAGGAGGGTGTTACGGGTGTCGTGCAGACCGCCGATCGAGGAGAATGTGGTGGTCGAGTGGGTCAACGTCACGTTGCGGAGGGAAGAAGGCGTGAAGTTCTTTAATGCGGCGTCAAAGTCACCCTTCGTCAAGGTCGGTGGTGCATCTGAGTCGTCATTTTCTGATATCATACGGGTGAGAGTTTCATTTCGGGCGCGAGCCAGGAGAAGGACGAGGTCAGCTGGCATGTAGCCATCAGTTTTCCCGGCGACATCGAGCAAGTCGAGACTGGGTGCAACGCGGAATCCCTCAGCCGGTGGTGACGAAGCAGAAGATGTCGGCCTTGAGGACGGGTTTGATGGATCCATCCAGGAAGTCTCTGACATGCTTTGAGTATCACTTTGGTTGCGGTTGTGGCCCCGGTTATTGAGCTGCCATCCATCATTTGTGAGAGACACAAGAATGTCTCGACGGATTTCCTTTGTGGGAGCCTTGATGGAGACTATATCACCTACTATGTGGCCTCCAATCATGATGCTGTTGAGCGAGTCCTTGGATTGTGCCGTGGCCAACATAGTAACGCCAGAATGAATGCTGCAGTATTGGCGTACAATAGCACAAAGAACCTCGGTGATCTGGCGACTGCGACCGTTGTCGTTGCCGACCTCGAGTTCAGTCTCAGCAGGACAAATCTTATCCAGGTCGTCCAGCACGACAACTGACTGTCCGCCCAAGCGTGCACACCAGGACGCTGACATGAACAGCCTCGTAAGAGTCTCCTTCACTGTCGAGACCCTGGTTTCGTCCGTCACCAGTTTCTGGCAATCAAAGTACGTCACATTGAAAACGTAGTCCTCCCTAAGCCGCTGTGAGATGCAGTGTGCGAGTGAAGTCTTGCCTGACCCGACTCCACCGGTCAACAGCACAGAAGAGCATAGGGCTAAATTTGAAAGGCATTGCCTAATGATCCCGTCGACACCTATCAAAGTGGGAAGTTTGGAAGGTATTCCATGGGCAAAGGTGGGAAACATGGTCGTCAGCTCCAGAGGCCGGGGCACTTCGGCCTTGATTTCAAATTCATGGTCTTGCTCTTGTCCCAGCACCCATAAACACGAATTATCATGATCTTCTTCGACCTCGGCAGGGCGACGAAATCTCAGAATCCCGCCATCAAATGATGCTGCAGAGGAGGAATCTCCAGAGGGTGGAAGTACCATTCCGTCAGTGATTGGCCCAGATAGCAGTCCTTCATCTCCAGCAAAAGTCAGTCGGATCTTGTCGGCCAGCGCTTGTTTAGCTGCTTTCGAATCTCCGCCAAATTGGAGGCCGTCTTTCTTTTTCGAATTCACGGGCAGAAACGGATAGAATTGAAACCTTTTGATAGAATAACGGGGTAAGGGTGGCCCAGTAGCCTGGACCCGGACAATGAGTCCGACCATCCCTCCTGCACCAAGCATCTGGCAAAGCGAAGTCGACAGGACTGCGTGATTGCCGTCGATTGGGGTGGACCAGGGAAGGATCTGGGCCACAATTTTAGAAGCCGGCCTTCCAACTTCGCTGTTCTCTTCTTCCTTGAGTCGGTTGACCTGGCTACTGTCCAACTGAGCCCTCATACCGGCCGGTTTTATGATAGTGATGTTTGCCCATGTAGCGGCTCTGAGGCTTTCAGATGCAATCATTTCGTTACTGAGCCAAATGCAGAGCTTGTCATCGTTTTGGGATATGCTCTGGTCTTCATCGAAAAAGCTGCCTGCCATTGCTCGGTCGATTGCGCGCATGAATAATGCAGGTCTCACGGGACCTGTTCTGTTCCGGGCGTTGCTGACACCACTTTTGCCGCTTCGCCTGCTTGCCGTGCTCCTCGCATCTCGCCTGTCACTCCTGGTAGATTTGGGCCGGGTCTTGGGGGCAACAATGACTTCTGCATCCGGAGCTATTTTCGCAAACGGGATGGTGTTTGGAACAGGCGGTACCAGGGAGGTAACGATAATATTTGCGGTTGACGTTGGTGATAAATGTAGAGTTAAGGGATGGGTATGTTCCGCTTGAACGGTAGTTTTACTGCTGTATGCGGGATTGGGTAGTGCACGAATCTGAGATAGAAGGTTTAACTCCAGGAAAGTGGCATGCAGTTCAATAACTTCCCAGTCTGCAGGTGTCAATGGCTCGATGTTGATGCTATGGGCGACAGGCGGGTCAAGATGAACCAAAATGCCAATCTTCTGGCCTTCTGAGAGTCCGAGCAACTTTGCAAACGTCGCATCAATCTCAACGGTTTGAACATCCTGTTCCCGGCTCCCTGGCCGTGCCCTATCGTTATTCAGAAGCGACGCTGGTCGTGTCCGGCTAGGCATGCCAGTCCAACCAACATAAGCAGATCGTTGAAAGCCAGCAGTATTGCCACTGGAGACGGCGCCAGAGGAAAGAGTCTGGGACCGGTATTGCAGTTCGACAACAACATTTTGAGCTGGCTGGGACAAATGTGAGCAGAGAGAATCTGGGCGTTCCGAGAGGATGGCTTACGATATTGGTATTGCTGATCAACGCAATCAGTCCCGGGGGTAGATTGACGAGG